GAAGAAATAATGGTAGAAAATTTCCCAAATCCATTGAAGACATAAGTATACATATCCAAGAAGCTCAGTGAACTCCAAGCAGGATAAATTCAAAGAGATCCACACTGAGACTCGTTATAATCAAATTGTTGAAACCCAAAGAGAATTTTGAAAGCAGCAAGAGAGAAACAACTTGTCATAAATAAGGATTCCTCAATAAATTAACAGCTGATTTCTCATTAGAAACCTTGGAGGCCATACGGGGGTGGGATGATGTGTTTAGAATCCTGAAAAGGGGTGGGAGAAGCCTGTCAACCAAGAATTGTATATCCGGAAAAACTATCCTTCAGGAATGAAGAAGAGATTAATACATTTCCAGACAGACAAAAGTTGAGAGAGTTCATTACCAGTAGACCTGCTTTATAAGAAATGCTAAAAGGAGTCCTTTAGGATGAAATGAAAGAACGCTAGAGAGTAATTTGAAGCCATAGCAGAAATAAAGAACACTGGTAAAGATAACTACATAGGTAAATGTAAAAGCCAGTATTATTGTACTTTTGGTTTGTAACTACTCTTTTGTAAATCTGTTAATGGGCACACAATATAAAGATGCAATCTGTGGCAATGACTATAAAGGAGAAGAGATGGAGATTATAGGAGCAGTGTGTTTGGACACTATTGACATTAAGCTGGTATTCAAATTAGGTTGTTATAAGTTTAAGATGTTAATTGTAATCCCCAAGGTAACCACTAAGAAAATAACTTTAAAAATATACAGAAAAGGATAGAAGAGGGAATCAAAACTGTACACTACCAAAAAAATCAACTAAATGCAAAAAAAAGGCAATAGAGGAATTAAGGAACATAAAACATACACAAAATAAATAGCAAAATGGCAGAAGTAAATTCTTCTTTATCAGTAATGACATTAAATGTAAATAGATTAAATTCTTCTATTTATAGGCAGAGATTGGCAGATAGAATTAAAAAAAAAATGCAATCCATCTATACGCTGTGTAGAAGGGACTCACTTTAGATATAAGGACAAAAGGAGATTGAAAGTAAAAGGATGGAAATGATATTCCATGCCAATAGTAACCAAAAGAGAGCCGGGTGGCTATATTATTGTCAGAGTAGACTTTAAATCAAAAAAAAGTTACAAGGGGCAAAGAAGGACTTTGTACGTTGATGAAAGTTTCAATCCAGCAAGAAGATATAAATTATAAACATATATGCGTTTAACCACAGAACCCCAAAATATATGAAGCACAGATTGACATAATTGAAGGGAGAAACAGTTCTACAATAATGGAGACTTTAATATCCATTTTCAATAATGAATAGAACAACCAGACAGAAGATCAATAAGGAAATAGAGGACTTGAATGACACTCTAATTAGACCTGTCAGACATACATGGAACACACCACCCAACAGCAGAATGCACATTCTTCTCAAATGCACATGGAACATTCTCCAGAATAGGTGATATGTTTGGCCACAAAAGAAGTCTTAGTAAACTTTTTTTAAAGGAGGCTCACCCTGAACTACAGTTAAATATTTTACTTGCCACATTTGGTCTGTGGTCTGAGTTAAGCAGTAGTAGGTACAGTCCCCCTGGGCCCAATTTAGAGGAAGAGCAGAGGCAGTCTGTCTCTTTGGCAGAGAAGGAGAGAACCATTTGAGTAGTGAAGCTGAGAGGACTCCTCTGCCCTCTCCTAAGACCTCGCCTCCATCCCTATTAAGAACTTGGTGTAAAGGATTAGTCCAGAAAATTTCAGCCCATTCAATAATGACTGTTTAAAAAAAGAAACTGGCACATCAGATAATCAAGTTAGGCAAAACAGTTGGAAGAGAGCAGCAGAACTTAACAATGATTGAAGAGCACTTCACAGAAAAATGTTGCCATTGAACTGATGAAGATTGTGGTCAAATTTTCTACTGCACACTTAAAAAACTAAATGAAGCAATAGCTTCACTGTAAAGCACAAATTCAAGAACTCAGGGAATAGATAATAAATAAGACAAGACAACCAAGGTAGTTGAAACATGTACATTCAGAATCAGGAAATAGTAGAACCCAAATATATCCCAGAAATGAAGGCATTTGTTAGGAGCACAAGGTAGAATATGCACTAAACAATGTCATGGGCATAGTGGATAGAAGTGAGAGAAGCAAACAAAACAAAACAAATAAGTAGTTAAAAAGAATTGGAGAGGAAGCAAGGTATAGAAGACAAGTAAAGTTGTTTCAACATGACAGTTTCTCTGAATAATAAAGTTAAAATAGTGGAACAGAATAAATATTTAGAGATATAATTCAAGAAAATGTTTCAGAAATAACAGAAGAGTTAAATTTACGTATTGAAAGAGCACACCATTTACAAGGGGAAAATGACCCAAAATGGTTAACATTGGAATATATCCTAGCAAAGTCATTGGACTTTAAAAATAAATTCTGTGGGTGGCCATGCCAAAAAGACCAAGTCACTTTGAGAGGGGAAATAGCAGGTTTGCCTCAGATTTTGCAGATCTCAATGCCAGAAGACAATGAATCAATACTGTCGAATAAATTCAAGGAAGGAAAATGAGAGCCGAGAGTTTTATATTTAGTCAAGCTGTCCTTCAAATACAAAGACTACCGAAAAAAGCTTTGAACGTTCAAGAATATATTGTTTGTGAGATATATTGTTTTCATGAGCCTTCTTGAGGAAACTGCTAAAAGATGAACCTAAGCAAACACAAGATAACTGGGGAAACCACAGTAAAAGGATGTGCAATATTGAATATATTTAATTCTAGAGCTAAACCTCTAGAATTGAAGATGAAAGTGGGGATTAGAGTGAAAAAATGTGCTCTGATAACTAACAAACATTGGAAAAGGAAAAGGGAAAGAAGATGGGATATGGGGTGATTTCCTCATGTGTGGTAACAAAAAAGGATGAGTTCCAAACCTGACAAATCAGGTGATAGAAATATAAGCATGTTTAACAAAATGAAGGTATTTTGGCAAACTGTAAAATTGTAGCAATGCCCTTCAGTAGAAGACTGGTTACATTATAGTTCATCTATATGATGGAATACTTTACAACCTTATAAAAGAATGAGGAAGGTCTCTATGTACTGATAGGGAAAGAGCTCCAAGATAAGTTAATAAACAAGATGCAGAAAAGGTTGTATAATTATGCTATCATTTATGTAAAAGAAGTAGAAAAATCATATATGATGATGTTTCCATATATTTGATCAAAAAACTAAGGGAAGGATACACAGAAACTTTAAGAAAAAGATTATCATTTTGGGGCAGGACTTCATAATCACTTAGTAGTAATAGTTTTACCATTTTGGTTCCAGCCCTTTTAATGTAAGTTACATTGATATAGATCAGAAATTTAACTCCGCAATTGTTCTAGACACTTTCTATTTTAGACTCACCGGAATGAGAACTGAGGGAAGTAAACCATGTAACAGTGCATTATTTTATTTCTGGCTTATGTGAGTATATGGGAATGTCAAAATAATCAGATATTTCAAAAATAATATGCAGTTATTCAACAGTTATTCAGTATATTTTACACATAGCTACCTGGCGCTGTTATTAGGCATTGGAATAGAGATGAAAAAAATAGTTCATGTCTGTATTGGAGGTCGTCGTTTGTTGAAGGAGACAGATGAATAAGCAATTATCATACAATATCAGAAGTAGTCGGATAGATGTCTGCACAGGGAGCTTTGAGAACCTAGAGGAGGTGCCTCCCATCTCTCCTAGATGGAGAGTGTGCATTTAGTTCTGTTCAAGTGTACTTCCCAGGGAAGGTGACACCTGAGTCAAGTCCGCAGAGAGCCAGAAACTAAAATGTGAAGCCTTTTCTTCCAGGTAAAGGAGATGGAGTTCATTTTAAGATGATGAGGAGCCAATTAATACTTTTATTTAGAGCGACATGAGCAGATTTGGAACTTAGGATGATTACCTAGAAGCATACCTCCAAGCAGTGGCATCTACATCAATTTTATCATCATCTGCATTGCAACAATTTAATACCTGCTATATGTTTGACTCATGTATGCATTATCTCCTTTAATCCAGCACCCTTTGAATTAGATATTATTCCTGCTATTTTATAGATAAGACAACACAGGGTAATAAAGGTTCATAGAGCAGTTAGTGACTGGACACACAGGAGAGAATATGTTTGATTACCTGCCGTTCACCTGGTGATTTTCAGTTAATGGAAGTTGAGAGGTGGTGATTTGTTGATCCTTAGTCTTTATTTTCATATGTTTTATATTGTGAACATTTCACTGAATTTAATTTGATTCTAGAATTTAAAGATAACATATGGTCCCTATGAGATAGCTTTTAACCCAAGTCTGTTATTTCACCTGGTGCACAAAGAAACTTTGGTTTATTCTAATACTAGAGGGGAAAAATGGCTCTGTTAGGCTTACTGAAAGAGAACATATCAGTCTCTGATGTGGAACCACATCTTTTCTAGAGGTTTTTTATCATCTGGAATTTTTATCCCTATCCTTTAGCACTAAACTACTTTATTCTCCATTTCATCTCCTTTTCCTCTAAAGAAAATTATCTTAAGGAACTATTCAAAGCGATACCTCATTAGGATTTGAGTTGTGTTAGTTGAGTAGTAGTTAAAGGCTCATACATAACTTGGGACCTGTCTTCTCAATATGATCGGTAGTTTCTAGCTGTTGTCTTTCTGCTGCATAATGTTTATATAGTGTATGGAAGCAATGGAGTGAGAGGTGATAATTCTTGAAAGTTAAAAAAAAATTATTAATCCAGCCACACTCCTCATCAGCTTTCTAAATGCTGTCAAAATTGGCTGTTTATCCGTTCATCCTTAATTCTTTAATTGAAAATTCAAAGAAAGTACCTCTTCTCTCCTAGAAATGTAGTATAATGATTAATTACTTTTTTAAAAAAATACTTGTGTGTAACTAGAAGGGGTATTACAAAGATGGTATATGAGCAGATTTAACTTGCTATACTCACCTTTTACTCCTTTTATTTCAGCTCAATCTGAAATTGAAGTTTCTGTGTCTGCAAGGAATATCAGAAGGTTACTAAGTTTCCAGCGGTATCTTAGATCTTCACGCTTTTTTCGTGGTACTACCGTTTCAAATTCTCTAAACATTTTAGATGATGATTATAATGGACAAGCCAAGGTGTGTATAGCTTTTTCAAGAAAACATTAATTTTATGATAAGTTTAATGAAGCCTTTTTTTCCCATATGGTACTGATTTATAGAGCCTTTTTTTGTATGCAAAAATCAGTTGAGCCCATTTTTCAGGTTTTTCCTTTAGAGCAGGTGCTCATTTTATAATTAGGTATTGCAGAGCAAGGGAAATTTCTGAAGTAACTAAAATAATGAAAATGTTTTCATTCATTGTAGCATTAAGTAACAAGTAGATCAATAGAACGTTAAACTATAGATCACACAGAATCTTAACGCTGGGGAAAATATTATGGATTATCCCATCCAATTTCTGTATTCTATAGATAAACGATGGCCTGAAGAGCATAAAGGACTTGCTTGCACTCACCCAGCTGATTAGAAGTAAACCCAGTACGGGAGGTTAGATCTTGGGACTTTCAGTCAAATGATTTTTCATAGTTTCTTGCATCAGTAAAATGTTTTGAGGACTTAGACTTTTTTACATTAAACTTGGTGAATGTGAGCAGTATTTTCTTTATATAGTTTGAAAGAAATGTCTTAATGAAGGTGGAGGTTAGATGAGCTTGTTTTTGACCAAATGAGAATTTTTAATAATCTTAGGTTTCTAATATTTTTTAAATTATTCTTTGACTTAAAATTTACAGGCCAGATTTTCTAAGTGTGTGTGGATAGGGCTGGGGTACTTTATAATTACACTAAAGTGAAAAAATTTGCTTTCCTGTTTAATAAAAGAAATCAATGGAAAGTGTTCATGCTTTCTTTAAAAGTTCACAAGTTCTGTTTTTAGAATGAGAATATTGATCTGTGTATGATTGGTTGTACTATCATAATTAATCTCTACTAGTAATATCTTTGTGTTGCTCATGTCAATTTTCTTATAAATGTATATAGCAGTAAGGTTTTGAATACAAAATAAAAGTTTTTTCTTGAAAATAAAGTCCACAAATTTCACATTACGAGTATATGGGGTAAAAATATAATCTATTTGGTTTATTGGGTCATTACAGGATTTATTTACTTGGTTGAAGTACACATCAACCTAAAAATGTAACAAATGCTGTTAATTATTTTATAAGGATATTTAAAGAATATAAATAAATACTCGTAAGTTGGGAGTATTTTTTTAAAAGAATGAATAACAAATAATTTAAGCATAGTATAGTATAGATGTCAAGGGCCTAGGTTCCAGAGTCAGACCACCTGGGTTAAGACTCCAGCTCTATAACTTTCTTGCTGAGTGTGTTAGTCATTCTTTGCCTGTTTCCCCTTCTATAAATGAGGATTGAAAACAACGGCTGCTTGATAGTGTTGGTGTGAATAGTGAGAGTGAGTAAAGCACTTTTAACAGTATCTGGAGTTATACTCAGTACTCAGCTATTATAACTTATTTTTAAAATCTAGTTTCTAGAGTGTGCACTGTATGAATCACACTTCTGTGATGTTAAATTGTATTAGAATTCTTGAAAGTTCTCGGAAGTATAGAAATAAATTGAAAGAAACATTTAACCTTACCTGTGTATTCATTAATTGAAAAACAAAATAATACTTGGTTTTTCAAATGGAGTTTATCCCTTTGGACATTTTTTGGAGCCAATTGGAAAGGTCATGATTGAAAGGAGAATGATACTTAGCATTTCTTAAAATAAATCAGTCACTTTCCATTTTCATTAACTTCTCTATGGATTATCTACAAAAGACAGAGAATGTTATTGAAATTAAATTACAGTAGGAATGTTTGGTTTTCATTTCAGTGTATGCTGGGAAAAGTTGGAAATTGGAATTTTGATATCTTTCTATTTGATAGACTAACAAATGGTAAGTGAAGAATTTGACTTACTCAAGTTAATGTATTCTCTAGATTACTGCAGTGATTCTCTAGATTACGGCAGTGATACAGCCAGCTGGTGGGTTGTTGCTTTCATTTACTTAAGTTATGAGCCCTCTGCTGGCAAAGGGAGCATCATTTTGTCCCTTCTATAGTGACTGATCTATAAGCCTAGAGAATTAATCTCATAATTTTATTTTTTGATTATTACTGTTAGCAGTAATCAAAAGTAATCATCATCACTTGGCCATCCCTAAGTAATGTTACTATTATTAATAATCCAAAGTGAACATTATTATCTCGTTATGTTCTTGATTTTTCTTTTTTGGTTTATTTTGAATTGTGGCCATTTGCAATGACATCTTCTGACATTGTATTCCAGTTTTGATAGCCACAGATACATGGTAGATTAACGACTTTTGAGAGAGATCCTTTCTGCTAGAGTTATGGTTCTCAGGCTTTTCTTTCTCTGCACACTTGAGAGATATGGTGTATTAGGATCAGCAGCAGTGGTTCCCTCTGGCACTGCTTGGTGGTGGTCCAGTGGGGAAGAGCTTGTAGCTTCTTTAGGAGGCGAATAAGAATCTACAGAGAGTATGAATGGTTTGAAAAAAATAAGAGATTCCGATCTGTTTACCCCCTCCTGAGTTTTATTTTGGGGGAAAGTTTCATGTTTTTTTATTCTCTTTGGGAACAGGAACAGGATTCTCTTTGGGATTCATTTTTATATAAAAAATTGGTGGTACATGTAGTTTGACTACACTTTGCCTCTTCTGTCTAAATATCGTTTTAATAAGTGAAGCAGAGTGGAAAATACACTGAAAGGAAGTCAGTTCTGACTGTTCAGAATGATGAAATAAATATGTGGTTCACTGCTATACTTTGAAATCACTTTTTTTTTCTTATTTTACTTTGGAATGAAGTTCCTTTTGTAAGGAAGTCAAATATGGAAAATGGACAAGCAAATACATCTTTATTCATCTTGAGAATCAATGTGGGTCTAGCTTTTTAGTATCACTGCATTATTCCTCTAAGCTGTGTGTCCATGCATAGTGAAAATAGCTTTGTATATACCTTTTCGTTGTCGACACACTGTTGACAGAGAATAAATTGGACTAATCTTAGGCAAAATTGTAGACGGTGAAGTTTGCCTTAATCAGCAAAGCCTCCCTCCTGCTTCCCTGCCTTTTTATGTGTCCCCTTTTCCATCCCTCTTCCATCTCTCCTTCGTCCTTTGGCTACTAAATGTTCTGTTCCTCCCCCTTCCCGCACTTTGGGCTGTCCACACAGGAAAGGCTCTGATATCTTTTGCACAGTTGTCCTTCCCTTCAGCCGTCCCCTTTTTGAAAATGCAGGTAGTGAAATATCAGGTGGCTCAGCTTCTAGACCTGGGAGACTCCCCTTTCCTAACGCAGCAGGAATGTTACTCTAGTTGTTATCTCAAGATAAATATAGATAAAACAGTGCCACCCTTAACACCTTCAAGGTTTAGCCTTATATAAACTAACAGCTCATAGCCTGTTCTTAGTCTACGGGGACACTTGTCACTCACTGAAATAGTTGATTGTTCTCTAAGTTTTAGTTTTAAAAAGTACATATTCTGCTAGTCAGGGGGCCTGGTGATGAAAGTAGAGTGAGTTGACAGTATGTAAGGTGGGCAGAAGTAACAGCCACTGGTCTGCATTGCTTAATTCAGCACTTTACTTCCCTTTAATCACCTCACTCCTTAAACTGGATTTGTAGAGGAGATGGCTGAATGGTTTCTTCTTAGGGTTGATGTTAGGGGTTAGTAGAAACCAGCCATGGTTAACTACCCGCCTATGATTTTACGGATGGTGATACATATCTGTTCAGTTTACTACAGTTAACTCAGTTAATTGAGGTATAATTGACATGTAACATTACATTAGTTTCAGGTGTACAATATAATGATTTTATATTTGTATATCTTGCACAGTGATCACTATAATAAGTCTAGTTAACACCTGTCACAACACACAATTCCAAAATTTTTTTTTGTGATGAGAACTTTTAAGATCTACTCGCATAGCAACTTTCAGATATGTAATACAGTATTAGCTATAGTCACCATGCTGTACATTATATCCCCATGACTTATTTATTTTACCTTTTGTCCCCCGTCACCCATTTCACTCACCTCCCAGCCCCCACCTTTAGCAACCACCAATCTGTTTCTTTGTGTCTATGAGCTCATTTTTTTTTAGATTTCACATGTAAGGGAGATCATATGGCATTTGTCTTTCTCTATCTGACTTATTTCACTTAGCATAATGCCTTCAAGGTCCATCCATGTTGTCACAAATGACAAAATTTTATTCTTTTTTATGGCTGAATAATATTCCTCTGTTTGTGTATATGTACACACCATATTTTATCCATTTATCCATCAATGGACACTTAGCTTGCTTCCATGTCTTGACTATTATAAATAATGCTGCAGTGAACATGGGGGTGCAGATATCTTTTCAAGTTAGTGTTTTCATTTCCTTTGGATATATACTCAGAAGCAGAATTGCTGGATCATGTGGTAGTTCTATTTTTAATATATTGAGGAATCGCCATACTGTTCCCCATAGTGGCTGCACCAGTTTACATTTCCACCAACAGTGCACAAGGGTTCCCTTTTATCCACAGCCTGGCCAACACTTGCTGTCCCTTTTGTTTTGTTTTGTTTTGTTTTGTTTTGTTTTGTTTTGGTGAGGAAGATTAGCCCTGAGCTAACATCTGTTGCCAATCCTCCTCTTTTTGCTGAGGAAGACTGTCCCTGGGCTAACATCTGTGCCCATCTTCCTCTACTTTATGTGTGAGACGCCTGCCATAGCATGGCTCGATAAGCGGTGAGTAGGTCCGCATCCGGGGTCCAAACCCACAAGCCCCGGGCCACCAAAGCGGAGCACGCGAACTTAACACTACCCCACCAGGCCAGCCCCCCTTTGTCTTTTCGATAATAGCCATCCTAACAGGTGTGAGATGACATCTCATTGTGATTTTGATTTGCATTTTCCTGATGATTAGTGATGTTGAGCACCTTCTCTTGTATCTGTTGGTCATCTGTATGTCATCTTTGGAAAAATGTCTATTCAGATCCTGTGCCCATTTTTTAACCAGATTGTTTGTTTGAATATACATTCTGAAATATCTATGTATATACCCAAAGAAAAGTTGGTTGTTACAGCAATAATAACAGAAATATCACTCAGTTCTTCACAAATGGTTCCAGACCACATGGGCTCATGTCTGTACCAGTAGTGTTATCAGTATGCATTTTAACATTTAATTTCTTAAAAATAAAAGATTTGAAATATTTTTTTCTTCCCTTTTGAAGATATGTCAAGTAGTTTTTAAAAAGAATCTCTTTTGGCCTGCGACATCCTTTCCAATGTTGCTCATGTAAATACTGTTCCAATTAATTTACTTTTTTCCTCAGCCGTGGGCTTCTGTTGACAATTGTTTAGGTAATTTTGGATAATGAGTTTAGCCCAATAGTCCTTTATAATCCTTCATAAATATTATTACTATAAATTTTCAGTGTAGGACTAGTTAGGTGTTTCATACATTTTTATAAGAATCATAGATTTCTTTAAAGAATACTAGAATCAAGTTTATGTTATTGTTTGAATGCTGGCAGTAATCTATGAGCTCATAACCCTTTAAAATATAAAGTCTATTTAATTGTTAAAATAATATAGCATATAACAGAGAGAATCTGCAAAACTTTGAGAAATATAATAGAAGGTCTAAAAACTGGAGAGTTATACCTTGGAAGGGAAAACTAAACATTATGAAAGTGGTAGTTTTTCCAAATTTAATGTCTATACTTGGTGTGACTGCAGTTGTCAGTGACAAGGGAGTGGGAGCTGAGGGTGCAGATAATCCCCGTTGCATGCAATGACCTTCCGAAAACTCAGCTGTGTAGGGGAGGAGAGAGGGTAGTAACTGGAGGGGCTGAGGGAGTCGGAGATTCTTTGTTGTTTCAAACGTAAGAGAATCTGGAGCATGTCTGAGTGCTGATGCTTACTGAGACAGTACAGGGAGGGAAGGATGTTTTGATTGGGGGTGACGCATTGGTAGATGTATCTGATAGACTAAGGAAGGTCCCTGAGAAGGTGTGCAGGGGTGGAGGGAAGAGCTTTTGAAAGACAGGGAAACTTGAGGGCTTGTATTTTTTTTCTATGAAATACGAGGCTGTTGAGAATGAGAAGGTGAATGGGAAGTGAGTATGTCACAAGTTTGAGAAGAGTAAAAGAAGGCTTGAAAACAGGCATTTTAAAAAGTGTAAGAACCATTTCACTGGAAAAACATAATAAGATTGCTGGGTAGTGTTGACCATAGAATTCTGCCTAGTTTTGTGATTTTTGTCCCTCTTCTTCCAGCACCTCTCAGATTTTCTGCTGCAAGTATGGGAGAGGCAAGTGGTTGAGTTCAGAATTTGATCTTGAGGAGGTCATTGATCCCTCCTCCTAGCCCTGTATGTTTAAGAATCAACACAACCTCCACCCAACAAGGTTGCAGCCAAGGCAGTCTGCTCTGGGACACCCTCTTCAGTTAAAGCAGAGAGGTGGAGGGGATGTTCAGGAGGAGGTTGAGTACAGCCGTGTTTTACGGGCTTTGGGAAGTTGAGTTAACTTATTCACTGTGCTACAAATTTCACAGTTTTCTATCAATTCTAATTATTTTGGTGTCTTTTTAAAAAATTAATCTATTTGAAATGTTTATCTTCCCATTCTTTGGTTTTGGAAAACTGAAAGAAAAAATCATTTTTTTCTTAGAATGGGAAAAAAGATGTGATATTTAAAGTTCATAACTGGTAAAATAAGAAGATGTAAATTTTAGACAGATAAAAAGTAGGGATTAGCACTCTCCATGTTTTATGTTCAAATCCCATGTTTGGAAGCACAATGCAATCATGTTACCTTGTATTTCCTACTAATATGTCTTCTTCTTTCTTTTTAGGAAATAGTCTAGTAAGTTTAACCTTTCATTTATTTAGTCTTCATGGATTAATTGAGTACTTCCATCTAGATATGATGAAACTTCGTAGATTTTTAGGTACGTGATTCTAATCCGTTTAACAGTGGTAAGATTTATACAAGAACTGGTTTAAATTTTGTATCAGTTATATCGGTTAGTCGATGCTCTGAACAAACCACCCCAAATTTAGTGGCTGGAAACGACATGCATCTCCTGCGCTCCAAGTCTGTGGGGCTGTTGATTGCTGCCTGTGGTCTGGCTGAGCTCCTTTATGCACATGCAGTGGTCAACAGGTGAGCTGCACGGTGGCTTTGTAGGCCTTGGCTGGGACACTGGGCCTGACCTGTCTCAGCTCTGCATGGTCTCCTGCTAAATTAAAAGGAGGCAGAGGAGTTTGGCACCGTAATAGAGTCACATTAAAAACAAAAAAAAAAAAATTTATTTATTTTACAACAAGCCAAGCTTGTTCCAAGAGCAGGGGCCAGTTTCCACGAGAGAGCTGGTGTGCCCAGACCCCTAGAGGCCCGGGCTCAGCGCTGCCCACCTTCACTTCTGCTGCGTCCTGGTGGCTGGAGCAGGTCGGACGGAGCTGAACGGCACCCTGCGGCAGGGGGGCTGCAAAGCCTCAAAGCCTTGGGGAGGGGCTGGTGAAGAATGGGGACGGTTTTGCAGTCTCTTACATCAGCCTCAGCTTCCTGACAAAGATGGCACAATTTCTGTCTGTTTCTAAATTTTTGAAGGCTAGACTTTAAAAGATCAGGTACACTGCACTTAGGTCTCCTCTTTTTCTGATCCTGGAAATCTCTTGACAGTAAACTTTAAAGATTATTTTGAATATGTTTAAATGTGCAGGATGATATTTAATACTGCAGTGCCAGGAAAAAAATGTATTTCACCAAATAAAGAAGTATGTTAGAAAAAAATTAATAGCATGAGAATTCTCTCTTACCATTATTTAAGGAAGAAGATAATATTTTCTTTCCTCTTAAGTACCAAACTAAGATAACTTTATTACCTAGGACTTTTGAGAAACTTTTAATGCATATTTATTTATAACTTTTATGCCTGTAATTCTGTACCAATATATTATATAAATTACAAAACACATGCAAAAATAGCTATTAGGAAGAGTGGTTAATGGGCTATTTTAAAGGATGGGATCATAGTAAATACAGAATTCTGATGCTCTTTCCCACTCACCAGTGAGTCACATTTCGCCACCCTAGAGTAGCCTCGCTTTGCTAGATTAGACTGTGGTGCTGTTGGGCCCATAGCGCAGGTTTGACGGTGAGGGGACAGCTCTACCCCTAATCCTCGTCTGCTTTTTCATGATAGCATAGCAGACACTGAGCAAAGAAGGCAGGATGAACAGAAGATCCATCCCTACCACTGAAAACCTAATTCCAGACCTGAAGCTCGCCTCTCTCATGATGATGCACACATAGGATCATTTTCCTCTACCCCAATATCTGTACTGTTTTAGCTCCATGAAGATTTTGGTTCACTGATGAATTTGTAGTACCTAGAACAGTACCTGGCACAATAAATATTTGTTGAGTGAATTGTACTGTTTTTATTAAACTGAGAAACTCTTTTTAAACTAAAAAGGGTCAGAGGAATTTGGCACAATGATAGGGTCACATTTTAAAAGAGAAAAAGAAAAAAAAGAAATATTTATTTTATAATTTTGACATGAATACCTTCTAGTTTAAAAAGTTTCAAACAAGTTAGGAGTCGAAATGGTATTAATTCTCTGGGAACATATGTGAGTTATGAGGGGACGCTCATCTCTCTGAATCTGAACGGCTCACTGTAATAGCCACATGAGAGGTATAAGTGGAAAACTCGTAATTATCACAGTTCTTGTGCTTGTACACGCCTCCCATTTGCAACTAAATGTAGGGTCTTTTTTCTTTGATGCAGTTATGATTCAAGAAGATTACCACAGTCAGAACCCTTACCACAATGCGGTCCACGCTGCGGATGTAACTCAGGCCATGCACTGTTACTTAAAAGAACCTAAGGTAAGATGCTGACGTTTACAGTAGGTGAAAGTCCTGAGGAAATTCCTGTGATTTACTTTCAAATACTTTCCCTTAAGTTAGCTATTTGACAAAATCAGAGGCTTCCTTCACAAGCATGAGATCTAGCTGCATCAAGTTTCCAGATGTGGGTGTAAGTGCAGCAACTGCAGAAGTGGAGTGATTGTGGAGAGAGCGGCTGGAGGAGGCCAGGCGAGGGCCAGACCACACAAAAGCAGGAACGCTGTGTGCAGACACTTGGCACTTGCGCTGAGCTCCGTGAGGGCAGGGACAGCGTTAATCTGGTTCAGCGAATGAATAGGGAGCTACGGTGGGGAAGCAGGAGACTTCAGAAAACTGTCCTGGCTGAGGAGTGAAATAGATCAGACAAGCCCAGAAACATGAGTACCTATCAGGAGCCATTTCTTGCTCCACGGGAGAGCATGGTGGCCTTAGCTAGGCAAGTAGCGTTGGGGCGGGAGAAAGGTAGATGGTTTGTGAGATCTCTTGGGAATTAGAATGATGAGGTTATGGTGTTTGAATGCATTTGAGGGGATGAAATAGGGAGAGGAGTCGATAAAGACTGGTTTAGGCAGTTGAGTAGAAGGTAGAAGTCTGTGGTGAGAGAAGAAATGTAGAAAAAGGAGCAAGTTTGGGGGTAGGGTTGGTAGAGATGATGAGTTCCATTTTGGATACATGGAGTTAAATGTGTTTGTACAGTGTCCAAGTGGAGATGTCTAAGAGAGAGTCGGACAAGAGAGTCTGGAGTACAGGAGAGAAATCAGAGTTGGAGATACAGATTTGGAATTATCAGCTACAGATGTTAACAAAAGCCATGTTTGCCCATGGACGTTTCCTATCCCTGGAGGCTTTAAAATTACATCTGCCTACCCTTAGCCACCCATAGCCCTACTTCTAAATTCTTCTCTCCTGGGATCTTAGTTCCAGCTAGATCCAGGAAAGCAGGCTGACTAAACCAGTTTGTCCCAGTTCATGCCAACTTGAAAATACAGCCATGTGGTTGCCAGTCTTCTGATCTTTCAAGAGACTGTGGAATACGTAAAAATTGCCCCAATTTTTAAAGTATATATATCATGACTGTTTTTAAAAAATCAGCTTTATTGTGGTATCACTTACATGCAACAATAAAATGCATACTTTTTTTTCTTTGCTGAGGAAGGTTTGCTCTGGGCTAACATCTGTGCCAATCTTCCTCTGTTTTTTGTATGTGGGTCACTGCCTCAGCACGGCCACCAACAAGTGATGTAGGTCCACGCCCAGGAACCAAACCCGGGCTGCTAAAGCAGAGTGCCAAACTTAACCACTAGGCCACGGGGCCAGCCCCAAAATGCATACATTTTATGTGTACAGTTTTGACAAATGTATGTTCCCAAGTGCCCTGATTTTTAAATTAAACTTTTAAAAAACTCTTGGCCAAGCCTGAAGCCTCTGTCCAAGAGTCTTGTGGGAGAAATTGATAAGTAATCACCATACAGCCGGGTAGATGGAATCATGGAGGTAAGCGCATGTTCCCTGGAACACAGAGGAGGTTAGCCTAGTCCACACGTCCGTGAAGCCTCCTGCCCTCCCATCTCCCACTGGCCACACCCGACAAGAAGCCCGGGGCAAGGACATGGAGGTGTTGCCAGGCAAGAGGGACGGAGGATGCCCAGGACCGGGAGGGGTGTGGATAAAAATGAACAGAACACTCTCTTCCCCATGCAGCTCTGGTAGTACTAATTTTAAACACTTTTTGCGCAGGTAGCTCTGATAATTCTTATTTTAAATACTTTTTGCCTGTGTGGCTCTGATAATACTTAAGCACTTTTCATCATTAACGTACTCAGTGAACTCTTAGTTAAAGCTTCAATTAAGGATACAGATAAAATCACTAAGCCCTAAAATGCAACAACTCCCTTCTCCCTTATCATGGTTAACATTTAAAAATAGAGTCACTCAGTGTTTTAAAAATGAATTCTAAAAAAAGCCTTAAGGGGGCCGGCCCAGTTGCCAAGTGGTTACATTCGTGTGCTCCGCTTCGGCAGCCTGGGGTTCTCAGCTTCGGATCCCAGGCGCGGACCTACACACCATTCATCAAGCCATGCTGTGGCAGGCGTCCCATATACAAAAAATAGAGGAAGACTGGCACAGATGTTAGCTCAGGGCTAATCTTCCTCACCAAAAAGAAAAAAAAAGCCTTAAGATTGTATCCCTTTTCCTTCCTGGGCCTTCACGTGGCATCACATTTTGGGAGTGTTTTCCTTCATTACTTTAATACGTGTTCCTGGTGCTAGGAATCTGGTGGTGAGTAAGACCGGAAAGGCCCTGGCCTTCAAAAACCTTACATCCCAGTGGGAAGACGGTCACTGAACAGATAAATAGAATTTTGACATAACTGTAGTAATTACTGCTCTGAAGAGACCTAAATAGAGTAATGTGCTGGAGGGTGACTGGGCGGATGGCAAGAGTTTACAGCTTTACATAGAGTGGGTGGAAACCACGTAAACTGAACGTAAATATTGGAGAAGGAGCCAGCCGTAGAAAAATCCAGGTGCAGAGGGAATAGTAAATTGAAAGGCTTAAATACAGTATTTAGTGAGAAATCTGATTTCAGTTTTATATCTTATGATTTATATGTAAGAGCTAATTCCTGGACTCTTCCTTAAGTGAAAAAAAGAAATATTTGAAGCCCAAGAAATTGTTGGAGAATTAGGGAAAAGTTCCCACTCTGTACATGCATCAGCTCTAACTGTAGTAGGACATTTATTTTTTATGCCCTCAAGGCTGAACTTACACAGATTACAATTTTGTTCCAGTTCAGCCTGATAGCACCACATAGCAACAGTGAAAACAGCAAAGCTTTTCACTGAACACGGGAGAACCCACCACTCACTGGTTTTCTATCTTACTGAAAAAGGACCCTGCTGATAGCTTTGCAGATACAAGTGAAGTCTGACTTTCATAGACATTAAATGCTTTGCAATTTCTTCTTCACACAGCTCTTCTTTACTGTCGGGTATTACCAGATAGAATCACAGGAATGGAATTAACATTTTTCCTTTTTTTTTTTTAATCTACTTTAAAAGGTTGTGTTATTGTCATTGACTTCCTTGTCTTTGTTATAATGCTCATAAACTTTGCTTTCTGGTGAAAGATTTTTTCACAAACAGAAATGTTACATTTTTACAGATTTATTTGCATATGTGATCTGTTTTCAAACTTAGAACTTACTTTCCCTTCAAAGAACTTTTAAAATTTCCGTGGCTTCTTCTCACGTTTCTGGGGGTTTTTTGGTTTTTTTGTGAGGAAGATTAGCCCTGAGCTAACACCTGTTGCTGAACCTCCTTTTTTTTTTTTTTGCTGAGGAAGATTGGCCCTGGGCTAACATTCGTGCCCATCTTCCTCTACTTCGTGTGGGATGCCTTCCACAGTGTGGCTTGCTGAGCGGTGGGTAGGTCCACGCCCAGGATCCAAACCTGCGAACCCCAGGCTGCCAGAAGCTGAGCGCACGAACTCAACCACTACGCCACCGGGCCGGCCCCATGTTTCTGTTTTTAATGGTTTCTTTTTAATCTACCTGAGATTGTTTGATGTCTTTAACTTTTTTAACAAGTCTAATTCAGGATTATTGTATTCTAGGATGGAACATGTCTGTTTTTCTGCCACTTCCACTCTGTTTTAGTTATCACACAGATACAGCTTTTGCATGTTGCTTAATGAACTACATGAGCGTGAGATAGCCACAGCCACAGGCACACATCTGTGTGTCAGGGAGGGGAGGTCGCTGTCTGTGCAGGATGCTCCGTGAGCGGGCCTTCTGCTCATCTCGATTAGTAAGCGGTGCTTTCACAGTCGTTATTTTCTCAGTGCTTTTGCATATCCTAAAGAGGAAATAATTTTCCTCGCCATCTTCTCCCCATTCATTGAGTTTCTCCATAGACCAATTATAGGTAGTATAAAAATAAATAATGCACCTTCTCTGCCTGCACACAGCTTACAGCTTTCCAGCTTTCCAGGGGATTCAAGCCCTCAGACAGTGATTTTTTTCAGACTGAGATGAACTTGACAGAGAGGATGGAAAAAGGTCCATCATGGCATAGAAAGAAAACATTAGAATTTGAATCTAAATTTATTTTTTATCTCATATTTTTAAAATTTTCAGTTTTCATCTTTGTTTTATCATGTGCAATGTATGTTAGTCCAGTATCCTAATCTGTAAGTAAGTATACCTATATAAGTGGTGTATGCTCAAAATTTTTTACTGTTAGAGCACAGGATCATACAAATTTAGAGAGCATTGCCCTCTAAATAATATATAGATATAAATCTAAATCTAAATATATAAATCTAAGTAAATCTAAATAAAAGAATGCCTTCCCGAGGGTTATTATGGCAGGACGTGAGAAGTGCTGTAGGAATACGAATCATTTGCTGGGAAAGGGGCTGGAGGCAGAGAACTAGTTGGCGGGGGGGTCAGGGGGATGCTCAGTGAAGTTGGGCCTTAAAAGATGAGTGGAAATTGGCTAGGAAATGAGAGGTGATTGATGAAAAGCAGGTGATATACTCAAGGTGGTCATTTTTTATCATTGAAAATTTCAGTCAGGTAATAAACTTATTTATTATAAGTAAGATTAGTAATAATTATTAAGAGTAAAATTATAATTGCTAGTTTGCAAGATTACTTTTTCTGACATGAATACATTGTTTGCTGTCCTGAATGTATCTGTTCATTTGGAGCGGGTTTTATTCCAGACTGGACATAGACTGCCCCATGATTACTCAGTAGCTTTCTTAAACATTAGGACCTCAGAAATAACCTTGCATTTTAGATTCTTAATTGAAATCCAGTAACCAATTTGTTGATAAATAAACACCCTCAGTCATAGCTCTTCTGTATTGTACATTTAAAAATCTGCTGGGGCCAGCCCGGTGGCGTAGCAGTTAAATTCTTGTGTTTCCCTTCGACGGCCCGGGGTTCGAGGGTTCGGATCCTGGGTGTGGACCTACTCACTGCTCATCAAGCCATGCTGAGGCGGCGTCCCATATAGAAGAGCTACAACTCTACAACTATGACACACAGCCACGTACTGGGGCCTTGGGGAGAAAAAAAAAAAGAGGAATATTGGCAACAAGCTGTGAGCACAGGGCCAATCTTCCTCAAAATAAATCTGCTAAGAGGGTAGATCTCATGTTAAGTGTTCTTACCACAATAAAATTTGTAAAAAAAAAAAAAAAAAAAACACTTCATAGGTCTACTCTGATAGTGGCTACAGTCATAAAAATATGCAAACCTGCATTTGTTGTTTTAAAGCCATTATTTCTCAAAAAGATGGTTTATACTTCAGCTACCATTTTAACTAAGCTTGTTTCAAGTGAGACAGTATAAGGATGAGCTCCATACACTCCATGTGGCCAGGGACTCAGTCATGTCTGCCCCCAGGGTTGTGACGAGGCCAGCACCTAGGGGTGTTTGGTGGCCTTGATGAATAGTCACCTGAAAAACATGAAGGGGCAGGAGGCTGTCAACATTGCCATTGGAGGCTCATTCAAAACTATTGTGATGGTTCAGAGTTTATTTCAAATATGTCTGTAACTAATTATTCTTTTGTCTCACTTCAGCTTGCCAATTCCGTGACTCCTTGGGATGTCTTGCTGAGCTTAATTGCAGCTGCCACTCATGATCTGGATCATCCAGGTGTTAACCAACCTTTCCTTATTAAAACCAACCATTACTTGGCAACTTTATACAAGGTTAGTGCAATTTTATCATCAAAATTTAGTATTCTTGAATTCTAGAAAATGTTTCATGTTTTAAAGAAGTGAAAGTAGTAAACAAATTCTCAATGAGTGTTAGAATTTTAACCAGAGTAATACTGCTTACACATAATTCTTTATGTTCAGAAAGAGACTTACCATTAGATAACTCAGATATCCCCTTTTTTGTAGAATACCTCAGTACTGGAAAATCACCACTGGAGATCTGCAGTGGGATTATTGAGAGAATCCGGTTTATTCTCACATATGCCATTAGAAAGCAGGTAGGTTGGATTAAGACAAATTTAATTTGTTATGAAGTATGGAAATTAATTTGGCAAAACAATTTTATAAAGTTTTAAAAATTATGTTATATTCAGGTGTTCCAAACTTTTCAGTTTTTGTTAAATTTAATGGGTAAATTATCTTATTTTACAAATTTATATCAAAATTTTAGTATTTTAAACCTATTCTGCAGTACAGTCAGTAGTATTTTTTTAGTGAATTTTTATGAAAGATTATTCCATAGATTTGAGTACTATAAAATTCACTCCAAATACACAGTGGCTCAGTCAGAGTTTACTGCTTATTTATATAAGTAGTATTACATATTTCCATTTTATACTCATTTGAATAAAACCTTAAGTTCTAGGTGTAAAGGTAAATTTGACAGAAAGTAAACATTTTGTATAATAAATAGATTCATTAAAATCTATTCCAGGAAGTTTTCAAAACTGTAAGAAGTAAAAAGAATGCTTTATATCCTCAATAGTGTAATCCTGGAGTCACTTCTAGAACTATAGGATAAAATAATGAACGGAAGGAACAGAAAATACTAATTTTTTAGGAAAGATAATGTGAGGCAGGGCAGTTGAAAGCCTGATCCGCAGCACTGATGTCAGTGAGCCCACTATGGCTCATCACTCCTCCACAAACGGAAGCTTTTGTTGAGGCCTCACTGCGGGAGATGCACTTAAGAGAACCGTGGGAGTGGGTGTACATCATCTCATTCCAGAGAAAATGTGAGGCATAAAAATATGTTTGGGGTATTAAAATTTAAGTTACTATCTTTGTTCTTTCCTTCTTCCCTTTCATAATTTAAAACAACTTTATAAAAAAACTGAAGTGTTTTGTATAGTGACCATAAGAAAAAAGCTGGACTTTATTTTTTATTTTTTTAAATCTTTATTCATGGATACCATTTGGAGTTATGACAATACTTCTGGTAAGTAAAATTGTTTCTTGCTGTCGTAGAAATATAAAAGTTGCTTAAACCATGCAGTGTTTATAATATATAAATTTTCTTTTTCTTGATTAAGACAGATTAAAATGTTGGCTTCTTTAGTCCCTTGTCCCTTTTCATCATGCTTTGCATTTGGTGATTAACCCTGTTGAATTCTCAGATTTAATAAAAATAAAAACTGAAAATAAGGAATGTTATGTAATACCATTCTTTTTTATGCTTTCTTTATTTAGGGTTTGTTTTATTTAATATTCAATATTGTGAGCCTTTTAATCTGTTGACAGCTCTTTACTATCATTATCCAAAGATAATGTTTGCTACAGCCCATTGAAACAAAGGGCAGGATTTTTTTTAAGCTTATTTCTCTTGTTATTTTATTTGAGACAGTTTTTTAAATGATATAATGTATTTGTTATTTGTGTTAGCATGTTACCATTTCCCTTCTAGAAAACTTAGATATTCATACAGATAATTGATTCTTAAATTTGACCCTAAAAGTATAGTTGAATCTGAACTTTTTTAAATCATTTGGTGGAATTTCCTCAGGCATCTTAGTCAGAATGTCGACAGGAGCCAGTTGTTGAATGGGCCATTCTTCCTCCATTTGAGTTTTCCTTCTGCCTTTCAGATCTCAGGCACCAAAAAACAAACCAAAGTTGTTTATCCCCAGCACAACCTAGTAAAGAATTTTCTCAAACAACATACTAATCTTATATAGGTTTTTTTTTTTTTTAGGCAAATAATTCCACCTTGGCTGGCAAAATAAAGGCACTCTTTTTGGAATGTTTGCTTATTGGTAGTATTTTCCTACAAACTCTTCGTGGTTTTAGTTTTGATTATTTTAGTAGTTTTTTTTTTATGCATTCTTTAAAATTTATTTTTTTGTGATAGGTTAATAGTTGAATGGCAGTTAGAATATCTTAGGGCTGCATAAAGCTTTCTGAGTATTAAGTTTAAGAAAAAAAAATCAAGAAGTAACTATTTAATTGAAAGTCTTGTATTTTCTCTTTGTTTCTCTAATTCCAGGCAACAGATGGAGACTCAGATAGGTGCTTTGATACTAGCCACAGACATCAGTCGCCAAAACGAGTATCTGTCGTTGTTTAGGTCCCATTTGGATAGAGGCGACTTACACCTGGAAGACACCAGACATAGGCATTTGGTTTTACAGGTAAAATGGGGCTTGGAAAGATTCTATTTTTAGATCAAATCATGTGACTAGTAGAATAAAAATGAAATATTCTAGTGTAGTTTTCAGAGTGGTTAAATCTTGAGGGAAAGCTGTGGAGTTTCCTTCCATTAGTAAAACACTTTCCAGAAGGTGAATCTGTTCCCTAGGAAAGTACCGTCGCTTTTGTATTTTTCTTACTCAAGATTTCTAACATAAATAGTTTTTGCAAGATTTGGGTCTCAATCAACAAACAGCATTTTATTTTAATAAGTTCTCACATCTAAAAAATGAGAGAGAATTAGATGATTTATTTGTAGCTTTATGGTTAATCTGGTCCTTATGCTCACCTCTTCGGTATTATCGAGCATGTATAAATTAGGTTAGCAGTCTTTCAGCATTTCTGCAAAAATGATCGGTAGCCCTAATGGCATCATAAAATTAATATAAAAGACAATGAATTTTCTGTTGCAATATTTTCTTTTTCTGTTTTTAAGGTGTTCTTTTTCCACTATTAATTTAAACTTAGTACAATTGAAATTTTACTTTTTTTCTTAAAACAATTTTAATATTTTGCTTGCTAGATGGCTTTGAAATGTGCTGATATTTGTAACCCATGTCGGACCTGGGAATTAAGCAAGCAGTGGAGTGAAAAAGTAACAGAGGAATTCTTCCATCAAGGCAAGTTAGCGTATTGAGAGAATCGCTTCAGTCCAATTTTTAGCATCATATGAATAAAATAACAGCCATTTACAGGAGTCTAGCAGTGGATGTTTGATATTTTTAGCAACAATTCGCAATAGATGTACGTATAACCAATAATGTACAAATTGAGCATCTGTTTTGAAAATTAGTTGTTCTCTTTTGTGGTGACCAGATGTGTATGTGCGTTGATGAACTGACGGATCAGGTTGGAAATTCTGCTGTACAGAAAGATTTCCCTGACGTTGCTCTGTGCTTGTCATGTGTGGATGGCATGGCAGTATGAGCGTGTAAGATATATTTTGTGATTTAAAGCCAGGAACCAAGGATGTTCATTACATGCACTTTCCTTTTAGAAATCTAAGATTTAAATTAAAATGCACACAGAATTATAGTCTTGGGGAAACACCTAGTAAAAGTTTTCTACCTCTGCCATCAAAAATAGGATATCAGCTTGGCAACCTTTTCTGTGTGTGAATAACTTACATTTAAAAAAGAATGGGGCTGGCCCAGTGGCGTGGTGGTGAAGTTCACATGCTCAACTTAGGCGGCCCCGGGTTTGCAGTTTCAGATCCTGGGTGCAGACCATGCACCGCACATCAGGCCATGCTGTGACGGCGTCCCATATACAAGATGGAGGAAGAGTGGCACAGATGTTAGCCCAGGGACAATCTTCCTCACTAATAATAATAATAATAATAATAATAATAATAATAATAGAAAAATAAACAAGAACAAATTTAGAAGCCATTCTCTCATGAGGATTAAATATGTTAATGTTTTTCCTAAGGAGTTTACAAGTAAGAGGAAGGCTTTAATTAACCAACAGGTGTGTTCCACAGTAATAATTTTATCTCTCTCTCTCGTTTTCATTTCTAGGAGATATAGAAAAAAAGTATCATTTGGGTGTGAGTCCACTTTGTGATCGTCAGACTGAATCTATTGCCAACATCCAGATTGGTAACTAAACTACTTAGATATGACTGGTTAGAAAATGCTGCTGATAATAATTTTGTCAAGAAGAGATATACATTTAAAATATAAATATTAAAATTAGGCTCATTTCTATTTTTCAAATAATTTAAGAAATTTTACCCATGTTTTTCCTTTTTTTGGCTCTTATACTTTACTCTCATTCGATTTTAGGTCATAAAAAGCATAATTTTGCAGAGCAGGTGGTAATACTTGGTTTCTATTCTAAAACTGAAAGAATACGTGATTTGCCCGTGTAGAAGCTTCTTTTGCATAATTCTGGGACTGCTGTTTTAAAATGAAAAAGGCGACCCCTGCACATGATCATAATATGAAGACCAGTTTCTACCACTGGTTACTTTTCTCTTTTATCTCTGCCTATTGATTAAATCTAATTCTTCAGCATCTTGCACAGGCCTCTTGTAATTGAGCCTTGAATTGTCTCTTCAGTCTTCTTCCCAACAACATCCCCCTCAGTTAGCTACAGCAACTTGGGCTCTTCAGCATTCCCCAAATCCACGCTGCCCCTTCACTCTCTGTGCCTCGCCAGCTCTTCACATCTGCCTAATAGACTCCTTTTTCTTGAAGATCCACCTCAGGTGTCACCTCCTCCAGTAGCCGCCTTCCACTCTCTCCAGGCAGAGTTAGTCACTCCTCTTCCAGAGCACTAGATATGTGTCACATAGCTCCCAGGTCCTTGCCTTGCCTTTGGTGATGTATTCCTGAGGCCTAGCACTGCACCTAGAAGCAGGAGGTACTTGAGAACTGTTTGTTGAGTGAACCATAACTGTAATGGAAAGCATAATGAAGTGTGCCATGACTAAAGTTGTGCATCTTGTTGGAAAAGAGCATAGGAGAGGTTGACCAAGATTGGGCATGTGGGGGGTTGAGTGTAAAGTTGGGGACCGTGGGGGCATGACTCAGCAAGGTATTGAGGGATGAATGTAATTTTGGTAACTGGTGTTGAGTAGGCCTTTGAGGGGTAGGCTGAACATAGTGAAATATGTACACAGTCTTCAGAAAGATAAAGTTTCTAGAAATTCAGAAGATAGCACAATACCATGGCATAATACTCTGAGAAGAGGATTGTGCTGTAGGGTCAGAAATTCAGAAATATAATTCTTACATTGTAATTGCAAAGGATCTGCATGTGGAAGACAGTGGGTGGTAACTGATGTGACTGCAGGGGGATAAGTAGAGAAGATGGAGAGTCGGGCCCAGAGGAGTGTGGCATAGGCCATAGGACAGGTGCGGGGACGCCAGGTCTCTGAGGGCTCACACCGGTCAGGGATGCAGAAGGGGCTAGCAGAGGGGAGGATAATAAGACAAAAAAATAGATCTGCTCTGCCCTGATTCTCAGCTAGAATAATCAAATGCAGAAGAATAGATGAAATATGGGCAAAAGGGAATTGAACTGAAGATAGGTGAGTGGGTAGTCAACTCACTCTAGCTACTAAAGTAGCTATTAAATGTCTTTTTGCCTGAGTAAATTATTCCGGAGATTAATGAGAGAACTTGCAAATGAGGTTTTAAAAAATTGCAATTTTAAAAGGGAAAAGAAGCTCAATCCCTTAAACTGTTCATCTCAGTCTATAGATTTTGTCAGTGTTGGACAGTTGGGTCATCAGAACGACAGGGAGAAGATAAATGGTGAGTTGCCATCTACTGACTCCTCAGAACCACCCTAGGAGACAAGTACTGCTCCTCTCCTTTTCAGGGTGTTTGCCCAATTTATACAGTTAACAGCTGTGGCTCTTTCTGATCTCACATCCCAGGTAAACTGGGGCTTGGAAAGATTCTATTTCTGGGATAAATCATGTGACTATCAGAATAAATACTACACTAAGCAGTGATTACTCGGAGCCAGCATAGGGTCAGTACATAGAAGTCATGTTTAATTAACCTGATTTCCTTCTTTGTTAGGAATACTAATTTCATTGAACAAGAGAGTATCATGTTCTGGATAAGAGCAAGGCAGTGCGTCCTGTGGGATCTCTGGAGCTAAGATAGAGGCCCGCGGGCTGGTCCAGTTAAGTGGATTCACAAGTGGTTGAGCAGCTGAGTCCTGCCCTCCGAGCGAGAGGGTGCCGTATGGCCGTGTCCCTGGGCCTGGCCTGTTCATTTCTATCAGGTACTTAAGACCTAAAAGGAATTTTAGGTTAACATAGAGCCAAAAGCAATAGCTAATTTGTTGGATATTAGAGGCAGGATCCAAAAGCTCTCAACCAGTTGGATCAATGGGAAGAATCAAATAAGATGAATCTTGTAAAACCTATGATAGTAAAGTTCTACATTTGGGTGCAAAACGCCAGCTACTCATGACTTAACCATGGCACCTAGAAGACACGGGGCCCTGGGTGGCTGGTCCAGCCTGACACATTGGTGTGAGGATGGCTGCCAGAAAGCTGCTGTGTTCTTTGACTGCAGTCCTGGCATTTTCTATGTTTGTTACCTCTTTCTCTTCACCAAAATATGACTCCTTGAGGGCAGATCTTGTCTGTCTTACTCGTTGCTCCATCCCCAGCCACCCTAGGACAGTGCCTGGCATACAGTACGTTTCCAGTTAATATGTGTGGAGGGAATGGAAGAAATGAAAGAAGGAAAGAAATGAAAAGAAAGCCTTATTTTCGATATCACAACTACAGTAGTGTTCCTTCCCCCTTATCCGCGGGGAGTACTTTCCAAGACCCCAGTGGATGCCTGAAACCACGCATAGTACCAAACCCTATATATATATATACAGTGTTTTTTCCTATACAAATATACCTGTGATAAAGTTTAATTTATGAATTACGCACAGTGAGAGATTAACAATAACTAAAAATGAACCAATATGCTGTAATAAAAGTTATATGAATGTGGTCTCTCTCTCTCAAAATATCTTATTTACTGTACTCCTTTCTTCCTGTGATGATGTGGGACGATACAATGCCTGCGTGATGAGGTGAAGTGAGATGAAAATCGTAGGCATTAGGATGTAATGTTAGGCTACTACTGACCTTCTGACAATACATCAGGAGGAGGATCATCTGCCTCAGGTGATCCTGGATCATCGAGCCATGACGATGTTGATGGTTGGGTTAAAATAAGGGTTGCTTGAACACAAGCACTGCAATGCCATGACAGTCAATCTGATAAGAGATGACTACTAAGTGACTGCGGGGCGGTAGCATCTACAGTGTGGATACGCTGGACAAAGGGATGACTCACATCCCAGGAGGGGGAAGGCAAGAGATTTCATCATGCTATTCAGAACAGTGCAATTTAAAACTTATGAATTGTTTATTTCTGGAATTTTCCATTTAATATTTTTGGACCGTGGTTGACTGTGAGTAACTGAAACCTTGGAAAGTGAAACCGCGGATAGGGGGACTAGTGTACTATTTCAGATACCATGATTTGTACACTTAAAAAAATTCAGCCATCAGGGCAAGAAGATATATCTTGGTTAATATAAACAGTTCACTGGGACTAGAATGGGGGTGAGTTAGGGAGGAGAGGCCGCACGGAAGATCAGAGTAGGGAAGGCCCAGACATATTACATGCTCTGTCAAAGAGTTTGGAATGTATCTTGCAGGCAGTAGAGAGCTAGCAGATTAAACTGTTTTTAAGATTACTGGATTCATGCTTTAGAAAACTAATGCTAGGGGCCAGCCCCGTGGCTTAGCGGTTAAGTGCACGCACTCCGCTACTGGCGGCCCGGGTTCGGATCCCGGGCGTGCACCAACGCACCGCTTCTCCAACCATGCTGAGGCCACGTCCCACATACAGCAACTAGAAGGATATGCAGCTCTGACATCAAACTACCTACTGAGGCTTTGGGGGAAAAAAAAAGGAGGAGGATTGGCAATAGATGTTAGATCAGAGCCGGTCTTCCTCAGCAAAAAGAGGAGGATTGGCATGGATGTTAGCTCAGGGCTGATCTCCCTCACAAAAAAAAAAAAATGAAAGAAAAGAGAGAAAGCTAATGCTGGCAGCAGGGACTGACTGGAAGGTGAGAGGAGGCTTTTGCAGTATTACAGGTGATAATGAGGGCCTTTTCAAAAGGGAAGTAGGTGACAAGGGATTTCAGAGGTAGAACTCACAGCTCTTGGTGACTAATAGCTAATAGGATATAGGGGTGAGGAGAAACAATATCGAAAGATGGCTCTGTTTGTAAATCTGAAACTATTGTAGAATAAAAAGCATATTAAATGTTAAAACAAAAAAAAATTCAGCCGTCAGGGGCCAGCCCGATGGCGTAGCGGTTGGGTTTGTGCATTCCACTTCAGCGGCCCGGGGTTCACCAGTTCGGATTCTGGGCACAAACCTACTCACTGCTTATCAAGCCATGCTGAGGCGGCGTCCCACGTAGAAGAGCTACAGCTCTACAACTATGATACACAACTATGTACTGGGGCTTTGGGGAGAAAAAAGTAAAAAAGAGGAAGATTGGCAGCAGATGTTAGCGCAGGGCCAGTCTTCCAAAAAAAAAAAAAAATCAGCCATCAGACCATATTACTTTTCTAATTAAAAGTAGTGGTGCTAATTGGTTTAATTTCAGTGAGATTTTTTTGTTGGCTAAATGGAACCTAAGTTGTCTGTGGTTGACATGGTTTTTTGCTGCCAAGAAAAAGTTCTGGAGGCGAAGAAAATTTTAAAACTGTTACACAAGCAATGATTAAAATTTGAATGTACATTTTCCCTGTCCTTAACAGATCAAAAGTTTAGGAAGATAATGTTATTTGTTTTTCCTCATATATATGATTTGATTGATAAGGCATTTTCTAGGAGGCTTCTTTTCACTTGTATGAGATACTGTGTAATCCTAAATCAGATATAGTGTGCACTTGAGTGCTGTATCACCTAAAGATGCACACAATCCCGAAATTACTCACTGTCTTTTTCTGACTGTGAATTAAGGGAGATCAGTTATGTAAGTTGTTTATAAAGTAAGACCCTGGTACACTTTTGGTATTCACTTTAGTAATTGTTTAAACTAATCTCCTCTGTTCTTTTTAGACTCATAATTTTTGTCATGAGTTTTCCCTTTATAAATTGAGTTAAGTAAAACTGTCAGCGGTAATCATGACCAGGTGTGAAGGGTACCATCCCTAAGGGGATAACGCGGTAAACCGCCACCAGCTCCGCTTCAGTTCCGGCCTCGTCACCCACAGTCCTGGAGGAGACGCCCTCGTAGTCTCCACCTGTCGCACTGGAACCATCCCGCAAATTGTTATGCCCTGCTATCCTCAGAATTGATATGGCCACTGTGTGTTTGCTTAAATAAAAGGATGTGCTTATGCACCTGAGAGGAATCATCAGAAAAGATTTAATATGTTTGTCAGTTCACCTTTATTTCAAGTTCCATTGAGTTACTTAAATATATTCTTCAGAGAAGATATGTAAATTTACACACACATATTAGAGTCTTTTGAAAAATAAGATTTAGGTAATATTGGAATAGGACTTAAGAGAGTAAACACCATATAGATGTTTTAAAGATAAAGTTTTGGAACATATGTTAATACCTTTTTTCTCTTATTTTCTCAAGGTTTTATGACTTATCTAGTGGAGCCTTTATTCACAGAATGGGCCAGGTTTTCCAATACAAGGCTATCCCAGACAATGCTCGGACATGTGGGGCTGAATAAAGCCAGTTGGAAGGGACTGCAGAGAGAACAGTCCAGCAGTGAGGACACTGATGCTGCATTTGAGGAGTTGAACTCACAGTTATTACCTCAGGATAATCAGTTATCATAACCCCCAGAATCAGTGGGACAGACTGCCTCCTGGAGGTTTTTAGAAATGTGAAATGGGGTCTTGAGGTGAGAGAACTTACTCTTGACTGCCAAGGTTTCCAAGTGAATGATGCCAGCATTATTTATTTCCACGATTTCCTCTGTTGGATCATTTGAACCCACTTTTTAATCATAAGACCTGAACATATAGCAATATGCATTTGGCTTTCGTGTGAAACCTTGAATACGCAAAGCCCAGCAGAAGCGAATCTGAAGAGAGTAACAGAGGAAGTTTTGCCGTGTGCCATGTGGTTTTCAAAGCATTTCTTCCTCGAGCCTTGAAACTTGAACTGAACCTTTCAGCAGAAATCTCTTGGAATTGAACCAGTCTGATGCAACATTGTGTCTCTGTACCTTCCACTAAGTTCTCTCTGAGAAAATAGAAATGTGAAGTGCCCAGCCTCTGCTGCCTCCGGCAAGACTCGATGTTTACAAATCAACTCTGAAATCCTGGTTCCCCATTTGCCTTGGAGCATGATTGTGAAGGAACCACTAGGAATTTTAAAGATCAAACTTTAACCTGCAGCTCTTTCCCCTGGTTTGCCTTTTTTCTTCTTTGGACGCCACCAAAGCCTCCCATTTGCTATGGTTTTATTTCGTGCACTGGAAACTGAGCATTTACCGTCGAGTTCCGCCGAGCTTTCACTCCAGTGCTGTTGGCAATGCAATTTTTTAACTATTGGTTTTTAATTTGGGGCGGGAGGGGAGGAACACCAATGTCCTAGCTGTATTATGATTCTGCAGTGGAGACATTGCATGTTGTTTTCACTACTGTACACTTGACCTGCACATGCAAGAAAAAGGTGGAATGTTTAAAACACCATAATCAGCTCAGGGTATTTGCCAATCTGAAATAAAGTGGGATGGGGAAGTGTGTCCTTCAGAGCAAGGGTACTAAAGTCCCTTTCGCTGCAGTGGGTGAGAGGTATGTTGTGTGTGGATGTATGGATGCGTGTTTGCGTGCATGTCTGTGCATGTATGACTGTGCATGTGTTATATTTATCCATGTGGGAAAGGATCTGAAATGTAAGCTTTTATTTATTATGTTGGAATGTGACATAGTAAGCAGCCGCACTTGGGGGAGGGGGTAGGTGAGCCGTGACCGATTGCTCCAGTGGCCTTAAACTATGCACAAAGCTAAGTGACCAAACCTCTTGTTTTGATTTGAATAAAAGTGCATTGTTTTCTTGTCCCTCCCTTTGATGAAACGTTACCCTTTGATGGGCCTTTTGATGTGAACAGATGTTTTCTAGGACAAAATCTAAGGACTAATTTTAAACTTAAAACATTCCACTTTTGTAATTTGTTTTAAATTGTTTTATGTATAGTAAGCACAACTGTAATCTAGTTTTAAGAGAAACCGGTGCTTTCTTTTAGTTCAATTGTATTTCCCTTGTTACTGTAAAAGACTGTTTATTAATTATGTTTACAGTTTGTTGCAACAGCCATTTTCTTGGGAGAAAGCTTGAGTGTAAAGCCATTTGTAAAAGGCTTTGCCATACTCATTTTAATATGTGCCTGTTGCTGTTAACTTTTGATGAATAAAAACCTATCTTTTCATATTTTTATCTTTGATATTTACCTTATAACTCAATCCTTTGGAAATCATGATGCTAAATTACTAGGAAATCAGAGTGAGCTTCCTGGCTCTAGCATTCACTCATCAGATCTTTATTGAGGCAGCGCTGGGTACAGGCACGGTCCTGTGGGGTTATCCACTATTATCTGCACCTCTGAGGCCCCAGTTACATAGTTTGCTCAGTCTTGACTCATACACGTAGAGGTCTGCTTTGATCCCAGGCCTCTTGACTCCGAAGCCTTTTGTTCCCACAGCTGGGAACTGCATAAGACATCAGTACCTCTTCCAATACTACATGTATTGGCCTTTTTAAAGTAAAGAAATAAGAAATGGCCACTTAATTCTACTTGACTGATATCAGCGTAAGGTACCACTGGGATTCCTCCTCTTATCTTCTCAAGTCCAGTTCATTAGAAGGGATATAGTGCAGACTTTTAAATCAAACATATTGTCATTATTTGCATAGAGGAATGATGTCCAATAGAAATATAATATGAGCCATGAAAGTGATCTTTAATTTTCTAGTAGCCACATTAAAAAAAGGAAAAAGAAACATGGAATTTTAATAATATTTATTCCAATATATCCAAAATATTTTATCACTTCAATAAGTAGTCATTATAAAAAACACCCACTGAGATATTTTACATTCTTTTGGTACAGTCTTTGAAATCCAGTGTGTATTTTACACTTACAGAACATCTCCATTTAGACTAGCCACATTTCAAGTGCCCAGTATCCACATGTGGCTAGTGGCTACCATACTGGACAGCATGGGTACAGAAGTCTGATGGTAGCAGAGCAGTGTCACCTGGGGAAGGTCAACTGGCCACTTATATGAGGTGGCATCACCTTGGCAAATGATGCATCCAGAGTCTCATAAGGATCTTTACAAGCTCACAGACCAAGTACGTCAGCACATGGAGAGTGGAACTCTCATAGCAAACTCTCATTAACCAAGCTTACAATAACTGATGTTTTTAAAAAGTGTTAATATTTTAATTTGCAATGAGAAATGTAACTATCAATCATTCTTTCCCTTTAGGCAAATCTTCTTGGGAAGCCAAATTATGATCAGCCGGTTACTTGGTGAGCATGGATTCTGAGCAAGGGAAGCAAGCTGCCTCATGCATCTGTCTCCCCATGGGGATATACCTGCTGATGCTCATGTTTGTGGACCAGGGTTCTCTCTTCCCCTGGACTCGGCCAGTAATTTCTTCTCCACATCAGCTGCGGGTTGGCACATCCAGTAGATATGTCAGTACCTTCCGCCTTGTCTCAATTGAGCCTGCCTGGGCTCCATCTGCCTGTGTACGATTGCTTACTTCTGCTCTGATCCATTATATGTTTCTTATTGTCTGATACTCAGAGGATTAGCTTTTTATTTACACATTCTCAAGGGGCGACACCTCAGCATTGCTCCCATTTCCTGCCTACACGTATAATAAACCCATTGAAAAGCTGTGTTTTGTTATGTATATGTGGGACTCACCATCACAGCCCTGCTTCTTAAATATGACCTATACTCCTTGAACACTGATTTTCTAGAAGGATTTGAGGAAACAGTTCAGTAATTTAGAAGATCACATTTAAAATAAATGATTAAATATTATGGAACAGAATACAAAATTCACAAGAATTTTAAGATAAAACAGGAGACTTCAAAGAATTGTTGAGCATGTAGCAGCCCTTGGTGGGGCTCTAGGCCCAACATGTTAGTGGGGGGACATCTCCTCTGCTCTGGAGGTAAAGGTCCTTGGAGAGAAAGTTTTGGCAAGCCTTAGCTTAACAACAACAAAAAATCTGGTTCCTCATCAATATTTGTACTCTGTAAATGTGATGGTTTATAACGATCCTCTTTTTTTTTTTTTTTGTGAGGAATATCAGTCCTGAGCTAACATCCATGCCAATCCTCCTCTTTTTGCTCAGGAAGACCAGCGCTGAGCTAACATCTATTCCAATCCTCCTCCTTTTTCCCCCCTTTTTCTCCCCAAAGCCCCAGTAGATAGTTGTATGTCATAGTTGCACATCCTTAATTGCTGTATGTGGGCCGCCGCCTCAGCATGGCCGGAGAAGCGGTGCATCGGTGCGCGCCCGGGATCCGAACCCGGGCCGGCAGTAGCGGAGCGTGCGCACTTAACCACTAAGCCATGGGACCGGCCCCTATAAAGATCCTCTGTATAAAAGAAGTAAATATTTTATGTCCTTTGCAAACATGGGAAAACATATTTGTACCTGAGGTACAGGTTAGAGGTGCTAGTAATTCTTTGAAGATTCCTATAATGGTCTCTTTTTCCAAAATGCTTTCTTGGCTCTTAAAGCTTTCAAAATTTTCTTAAAACTTTCACATCAGAGGTTTACAATGTTTTCATGTATACTTTTTTTAATGTATAAATTATTTTGTTTCAATCCCCTCCCAATTAGGATCTCCTGCTTGGGAAAATATACAATGACCAACAGCTAATATGCATTCAGTATTGTATTTAAATAAATGTGCTGATTAATCACTATAGCATAGCATACATTTGAAACATATAGTTGTACAGATATGTGCAAGCCAGTCAGCCATTCCTTGCTTGCTAAGGATCTGCAGGCAACCTGAGTCTTTTGGAAGTCCCCTAAGGGTCCACGGTCTACAGATGGAATGACCACTACTTAGGGGTGAGCTGATGGGGGACACACAGCAGGTTTCCTCCATCTTGTCTCCTGTGCTCAGCATAAGGCTAGTGTAAATTGGGCCATCAATAAATGTTTGTTGAACAAATTAATTTGGTATTAATGTGTTTTCTTTTTAGCTGTCAGTTTATCATTAAGAGAAATTGGAACTACTCTATGCTGAAGTCATGTGGCAAGCAATATGTGAGTTCCTATTGTGTGCAGAGCAGTGCACTGGCTGTAATAAAGGTATTAAAAATTATAAAACATGGTCTCTGTTCTCAGAATGTTTGGGTGACAAAATGATGTGTGAAAAGTGTAACATAATATAGCAGGTTTTTGTATTGTACAGAATGAATGCAAAGTGTTGGGGTGTTGTTTAGGAGAATGAATTGTTTGGTTAATGATTCGACCATTTCTGATAATTCTTCAATTTCATTGTTGTTAACATCCATGAATGGTAAAATCATTTGGCTTTCAAATTTGATTTTAAAATATAGTCTTAGATGTTCAGTATGATACTTTTAGTAAAATACTTTTATCAATCACAATAACATTTTTTACTTTTACACCTACACTTTCTAAGTCATCCTGAAACCTATCTTGAAGTCTGGTAGAATGCTGGGGGAAGAGAGAAACAACCCTGTTTTTAATATTAGATTCCTTTTTGGATGTAATTTAAAACTGAAGCACAGTGACTTATTGGTCTATTGCAACTTTAAACTGGCCCCATCAATAGTCTTTGTTTAGAAATTCCATCTTATAGTACAACATTTATCTTTAAGAAATTTCATCTTGTATTACAACATTTATCTTTAAGCTATGCATACATTTAGATGAGATTTTTTGAGCATAAATTTGAAGTGTTGCTTTACTGCTGAGCCATGTCCTATAAACAGTCAGGAGGCTGCATGATATCCCAAGTTCCTTTATCTTAGCTGAAACTTCTAAACGTTATATCTCTAAACTTTTTGAAGGAAGTATCATAAAGGAGTGTGTTTAAAGTTCCTATTGGACATTGGCAGAAAACAGAACTTCTGAATTTCCATCTAAGAATCACCACAAGATAGATAGGGGTTAGCTTTTTCCATTAAAGGGAACAGAGACTCACTCAGATTACTTCAGGATCACTGGGGCTTTATCATGAGGATTCATGTTCATGACAATGGAGACAAACCCTCGTGAGGGCTGTAGAAAGCAGAAACGGGGGTCTCATCATTCTGAGACGTAGCTTCTTGATGAATCTGCTTCTCCCACACTCCTGCGCCTCTTCTGTCTCTTCTCTACCTTGCAGTGTCTGCTTAGAAAGGCAGTATGATGTAGTATAGTTTTAAAAAGTGTCTTTATGGCTAGATAGGCCTGGGTTTGGGTCTTTTGTATTAGCTGTGGATCCTTGGGCAAGTTACCTCATCTTTTGAGTGGCTTCCTAACCTGTAAAATGTCTGTCTCTTAAAAGTAAAATAATGTGTTGATACATAGTTAAGTGTTCAATCAATGGCCTAATTCATTTCCTCATAATCTGTTTTGTATAAACTGCTCATGGATACAATTGAACCTCATGACATCCTTGAGCTCTGAATACCAACTGCCTCTCTCTCTCAAGGTTTCCTATTCAAATTGCTGAGAGACTCTGATTGGACCAGCTTATCAAGGCTGTGTCCTTGGTCACAGACCAGTCAGTCTGTGCATTACCAGGTATTCCCCCTTGCAGAAGGGAAGGCAGAGGTTTCAGATGCTGGGCAGTGTGCCGTAAGGTTGGGTTGGGTTAAGGAGAATCTGGGTGACCTGACTCCCAAGGTCCGTGTCTTACGTACTTCTTCTCTACCCTTGTTGCTACACCAGTATTACAGAATGACTTCCCAACCATCCTCTAGTTCTTATCCTTTTTCACCCTTTAATGAGCAGCAAGACTGGCCAATGAAGAGGGATGGCCATTAGGCAACATTAACAGAAGGCTCTTTCTTTATATCTCCGGTAAAAATCCTGTTATGAAGAGTTTGGCCTTTCTCCCCAAGGCTTTCCCAGCTAGGAAGAAAGCAATTATGAGGGCCGGCCCCGTGGCTTGGCAGTTGAGTGCGCACGCTCCGCTGCTGGCGGCCCGGGTTCGGATCCCGTGCGCGCACTGATGCACCACTTCTCCAGCCATGCTGAGGCCGCGTCCCACATACGGCGGCTAGAAGGATGTGCAACTATGACATACAACTATCTACTGGGGCTTTGGGGGGAAAAATAAATAAATAAAATTAAAAAAAAAAAAAAAAGCAATTATGAGAGACTGCTCTAATATAAGCCATGGCTGTTTGGTATGGGATGAGAGGCACTCTTCGG